AATCAGGAGCAACTTTATTTAAACATAAATATACACTAGGTAATAAATCATTTGGACTAAGAACAATTACTGAGCGAAAATAATTTGAAAGTATTTCAATAATTCTTAGTCTGCCACTAATTTCTTCTATGCATGAAAAAGTTTTTGTAAGTGCAATGTATGGAGTCCTATTAAAATTAATTATTTTTAATATACATATAATTTTAATTTTACTAAAAAGTTGTGTTAAACAATAGGTAACAATTTATTCATAAAATAGTTAATATGTACAGCATTTTTAAGTGCATACATATTTTCTTAGGATCAATTTATATTATCATAGTATTAATATTATTTGAATACATGAGAGGAAAATAAATTGTAATAAATACAAACATAAGATGGGAAACATAACTAATAACATTTTCCTATGATAATTGGTAGGTGGTAGTATTATATTTTATAAGTTACTAAATTGTAGTAATTAATATAGAAAATTGTATGCAATTTTAAGATTAAGTATTGTGTAATCATTTTGAAATTGGTATAAAGAATACTATTTATAAAAAAATTATAAAATAAATAATGAATTAAGTATCAAATTTTACAGAAATAGCATAATTACCATTAATTAATAACTATAAACAAAATGTTTTAATTTTAAATCAAGTTATTAATACTCATTTTATACTTACGGTTGGCCAAGATCCCAAATGGCATCTTTTATAGGATCATAATTTGTTTTTGTTGGATCATATTCAGTTTTAGATATTTTATTATGGAGCTTTGGAGATTTGTCTGTATTATTTTTAAGCACTTGTATCTCAGTAGATTCTATTATTTTTTCAGGAGACACTCTTTCATTTAATTGTTCAAGCTTTGTTGGCAATTTTTTTTTAATTTCAAGATCTTCGTTTGGTTTATTAGTACTATTATTTTCAATATCAGAATTACTATTGATAACATCTGTAGGCTTTATTTGAGTGGTTAGCGGAGAACCTTCTTCACACTTTTTTTTACTAAATTTAGTAGAAAGTATGAACATCAAAAAATATGTAATGTTAAACTTTATGAATAAAATAATTTACATGTCAGTATTTTCTTCATCACTGCTATCACTGAATACCATAGCATGTTTTTTCCTTTTACCGTAAGTCTTTAATGGACTAGTACACGCAACTACTAGATCTCTAAAATTGAAATTGAAATTGAAACATACATTTAATAAATATATAGAATAAAAATAGTTTATGAACAATTATATTGAGTTCCCAGTTATTCAGGCATTCATGAGCCATTTTTCTTGCAATTGGAACTCACTATATCACTAAATCTATTTTCAATATATCCCAAATTCTTTTTTATTGCCTTCTTCTTATCCCTTAACATATTTCTCTCTCTGTTCTAATAAATTCTTACAATCTCTTTTAATGCTCAATCAATCATATTTTCACAAATAACTCCTATAATACTATCAACCAATTCCTTTTTCAATCAGACTGGTTTTTTGATTTAGTAAATTGTATTTTATTGTTTTACCAAATTATAAGTTTTGATTCACTGTTTAAATATTAATTGTTGTAACTCATTTTGTAACAAAGTTTCAATAAAAAAAAATTAATCTCATACAAACTGTCCTCTCTTTACTTTGATAACTTGTAATATATCTAATATAACCATAAATTATAAAAAATTAAAATTAATAGAGTATAGGCCTTAACGTAGTGGGTTCAACAATTTCTAGACTATAGCAATAGCATGCAAGAAAAACTATGACTTTTGAAAAAGAGTTTATCTGAACCATCTTAGGTTTAAATATTTTTTACTAGTCAATTCTTGTCCAAACTGATTTAGGTTATTTACTGCAGCATGATATTATATGAATAATGTAAATTGTTAACTTACTCTGGAGATGTCATACTGATACTAACTGATGAGACTAGTGGACTCTTTTCCTTTTTGTTAAAATAAGACCTATAAATACAAAAAAAAAAAATACATTAAATAATGAATACGATATGAATAAAATAAAAAGCACTTACATTAATGTTCTTTGAGTCATGTTTTTATTATTTAATAAATACTTATAATTAAAACACTTAAAACCTAATATGTTGGACAAAAACAATGGTTTATAAGAAAACCGCCAAAAAACCACAAACATGACGTTAAAACATCGTACATAGATAAGTATACTAATCATATATCAATAACTTGGTTCTGCGCATGGTGTAAGATATTACTAAATATATAGGCTTGTCAGCAAGATAACCAAATTACACTATCACTGCGCATTTTACGTCGGTGTCGGCCCACAGACATAAAATAATGAATAGGCCCAAGGTTTATAGATAATATATTATCTACAAACCTTGGGATAGGCCATCAATACTTATCATACGGGAACATAGACAAAATAGATTTATATTATAGATTTATTATGTCTATGTACGGGAACGGACATGAAAATAAAAATTATAGAGGTCTTAATACAAATAGATAACAGTATTAGGAGATGATAATTTATTTGTCAAAATCATAGATATTAAAGAATTCAATTAGGAGTAAATTAGTCAAATAATGAAATTAATAATAACAATATAATAGGACGTACAATATAATTTAATAATTTATATTTATAATAATTGTTCATTATTATGATTTATAATCTCCAATATCTATATCTTGCAATGATAATAATCACAGTGTATATCTTGTGATAATTCCTCCGCCAGAAAGAGACTATTGATAAAAACACATATCTATTATACATAGAACTTATAATATTATAAAAGTTTAGGTGTATATACTATACTATACTTTATAATCTAAGACTAATAGATACGAACTCGTATGACTACATTACGAGCTACGTGGAAATATATCATAGTAATGTAACCCGCCTTGACACTAGATGTACTAATTTTACAATAATACTCTAAATACAAATTATCGTACGCTTACTGTACACATGTCAATGATTTTACAGTGAATTGCAGGGAATTCGTAATTTATATTTTGTGCTAATAAGTGAGTCTTAGGTATTCGTAATATTATATTGGGACGTCGGGTATATTTGGTACTTCAATATTCAAAATCTAGCTAAAGGTTTATTTGTATTGTGCCTTATGATACGCACAATAATTTACAATCACTCAGTCAACGAAGAGCACCCTATATCTTTCCACGCGTGGTGTGTAATCTTTTCGTGTCTATTAGTATAGATATCTGTGGATAAAAATAATCTCTCTCTTCTCCATTCTGGTACATTTTCTTTAATTTTGTCGGTATAGCCACAGAATAGATTAAATTTGTTGGTATAGCCACGGCCTATTTATTCTTTAATATCTATGTGTCGGACATATTACATCTGATATCAATTTGGCAGCTATTAAGACGTGAGATCGTATTATTATCACGATTAAAATATATTGAGCATTGAACCAAGGTGTATTGTACACCTTGCATTGAATTACTCTATATAATATATGCTATCCTATAGTGTTCAATGATAGTTCAATTAAGTGATTACTAATTTTTGTCAAAATTAAGGTTCAAGACCTTTAATTTGGATCATATACTATGGATAGAGCTATTGACCACATATTTAAAGCAAACACAACTAAGGAGAGTTATAAGAAATGCGAATGCACAAAATTTATATTACGCGCAATTGGTTGAATTCTCGTAATCACGTATAATGTACCTATCATCACGACTGTCTGGTGGTATTATAATAATTATATGATACATTATGAAATATATGCGACAAGCATTGATACGTATGTGTAATAGACATCAGTTTCCTTAGCACTCGATAATAATGATGTCTTCAACTCGTAGTGCGCGTTTATCATGCCGTAGCTCTATCCATAGTTCATGATCCGAGATTTTTAATAAATTGGAAAGAGCGGTAAACAGATAACAGAATAACGCTATTATCATACTTTGTTTATTTTATCAATTTTAGGTTATTTTTTTTAACTTGATATGAATACCTCATAGATAATGTATTACATTTAATCCATAAAGTAATATTACTATATATATATATATATGATTAAACCGTGATTATCATTACTTTAAGATTGTACGATAACCATGAATAAATCGGCAAGAAGGGAAGTTCTTCATCGTGTCAACAATAATATCATTTATTCTATGATATATCCACGATATAAGATAATATGGTTGCTCATACATGATCCATGAGTATATACTCATATATACATCTGATCTATCTATACATTAATTTCGTGACCACAGAATTTAATCCAAAAATTAGCTGTTTCGATTATAGCTTTTTAGTTTTTAATGTTGTCACCAAAACAAGACAATATCGATTATCTTGATATCAATCATAGAGTAAGTGTTAGTCTATGGTATCAATATCATGTTCACCTGAATAATAATAAATCCTTAGGTCACATTATCACTGCTTGATGGGCAACCATATGAATATATGATCCATAGAGTAAATACCACTATTAAAGATTATTTTAAATTGTGAAATTACTCTATGATATCTTAAATCGTAGATGTACACTAGTGGCGATCATGTTTTTGTGCAGTGTTATCTTATTGACATGACTGCATATGTTATGCTATGTTTGTTTTAACTATTCACTTTATAATAGTATAAAGTCAATAGTTTTAACAAAGTGTACACTTTTTACTATTTTTTTTTAATAAGGAATACATTACTTACACAGTCACACCATCAATTAATATGTAGATGACGAATCTACAATAGTGTAAATTCTATGTAAAAAAATGTACATTGTTTGTTAAAACGAACAAAGCCTTGATCGTAATTTATTTAGTTTATAATCTGTTATCATTAATATTTATTATTCAATTAATATAATTGATGGTTGTGTTGATAATCGTAGCAGCAAACTGAAATTACTGATAACTACATTATTAGTATATCTCATATAGTGAATTTAACATTATCTGTGATTAATACGATAACTTATAGGTATTTTAGTTTCTAGATTGGCTTCCAAAATCCGAATGACTGATATTTTTTTGCATAATGTACTCAATTTTCGAAAATTGGAAAAGCGCGCTGCCCGAAGATCAATGGTTAATCAAGTTACTGCAATTGCAGTGTGACCAAGGAAACACGAACCATGACGTAGTCAGCTGATTACGAGATACAAAGAACATTGATAAATGGATAATTTGGTGCGGCGTCACGATTGGACAGTTTGGGCTTCGGAAAATACGTGCGACGGCGAACGGAGACAAACGAAATCGACTCGAATTTCCTTTGTACGAACTACTAAGGTAAAGTAAATGCCGGTCGTCCTCTAACTGATTGGAGCGACGCCATTGGACCGAACGTTTCGCACAGTTGTACAGTTTTGGTACTCTTTCTGGTAAACAGCCAGTATACCGTTTCACAATTAAGTCTAACGTAATTGTATACCGATAAAGTTGTAGACTGCGCGTGTACCGTGATCATAGTTACCGTCGTGATACTAAGGCCGTGCACTCCACGATTTGGTTTTTTGTTGTCCGATGTCTGGTGCTGAAGTACTAGACACCACCTGTGAATTGCCGGCCAAGAAGCGTAAACTGGCTTCCGGTGAATCGTCTGCAGTGGTATCCTCTGACTCTGTGGCAGTCAATCAGGTAATAATGTCTAAGAACGGCGTAGGAGAAATCGATGAAGGTCTCTATTCGCGTCAGCTTTACGTTTTGGGTCATGATGCAATGCGTAAAATGGCCTCATCCGACGTGCTAATCAGTGGGCTTGGCGGATTGGGCGTTGAAATTGCCAAGAATGTCATACTCGGTGGTGTTAAATCCGTCACATTGCATGATTCCGTTGTTTGTACTTACAGAGACTTGTCGTCCCAGTTCTACTTGTCGGAAAAAGATATTGGAAAGAATAGAGCTGTAGTCAGTTATCCAAAGTTGGCAGAACTCAATTCCTATGTACCAGTTAAAGCATACACTGGAGTTTTGTCCGATTCTTTTATCAAGCAGTTCAAAGTAGTAGTTTTAACAGAAGCCACATTAGATGAACAATTACGCGTATCAGATATTACACATCCAAATGGAATTGCTCTTATAATCGCTGACACAAGAGGTGTATTTTCACAAGTGTTCTGTGACTTTGGTGAGGATTTTGTTGTAACAGACTCTACTGGTGAAAACCTAATTTCTGTAATGGTGGCTGGAATTACAAAGGATGAACAAGGAATAGTTACGTGCCTGGAAGAGTCTCGTCATGGTTTCCAAGATGGAGATTATGTAACCTTTAAAGAAGTAAAAGGTATGACTGAAATAAATGGTTGCGAACCAAAAAAAATTACAGTGTTGGGACCATATACATTTAGTATTGGTGACACCACGTCATATTCAGATTATATTAAAGGTGGTATTGCTACACAAGTAAAAATGCCGAAANTAATTTCTGATTTTGGTAAATTTGATAGACCAACTCAATTGCATTTGGCATTTATAGCTTTACACAAGTTTGTTTCAGTCAACCGTCGATTTCCTACTCCCTGGAATTTAGAAGATGCTAATGCGTTTTTAAAATTAACTGAGAGTGTCAATACAACTTCTGTTGAACTTGATGTCGATTTAATAAAAACTTTTTCTAGCGTTTGTGCTGGTAATATTAATCCTATGACGTCTTTTATTGGTGGTATTGTAGCACAAGAAGTCATGAAATCATGTTCTGGCAAATTTAGCCCAATATTTCAATGGTTTTATTTTGATGCCACAGAAACTTTGCCTAAAAGAGTCACAGAAGAAGATGCTAAACCTGTTGGTAATCGTTATGACGGTCAAGTAGCTGTGTATGGACAAAAATTTCAAACTATTTTAGGAAATCTGAAGTATTTTGTTGTTGGAGCTGGAGCTATCGGTTGTGAATTGTTAAAAAATTTTGCAATTATGGGTGTTGGGTGTGGTAATGGTAAAATTATTGTAACGGACATGGATTTAATTGAAAAATCTAATTTAAACAGACAGTTTTTGTTTAGATCTCATGATGTTCAAACGTCAAAATCAGAAACAGCTGCCAAAGCTATAAAACAAATGAATCCTAATGTAAACGTGGATCCACATACAAATAAAGTTTGTCCAGAAACAGAACAGACATACAATGATACTTTTTTCAATAATTTGGATGGCGTGGCTAATGCTTTAGATAATGTTGATGCTCGTATATACGTGGATAGACGTTGTGTTTACTATAAAAAACCTCTTTTAGAGTCTGGAACTTTGGGTACAAAGGGCAATACTCAAATTGTTTTACCAATGCTTACTGAATCATATAGCTCATCCCAAGATCCTCCAGAAAAAAGCATACCGATATGTACTTTGAAAAATTTCCCAAATGCTATTGAACACACATTACAATGGGCAAGAGATTTATTTGAAGGACTTTTTACACAAGTTCCAACAAATGTCAAACAATTTTTAGAAGATCCTAATTTTATCGAACGCACAAATCATTTACCCGGATTACAACCAGCAGAAATTATAGATGGTGTTAGAAAGTCAGTGACAGAAGCCCCCAAAAATTTTGATGATTGTATTGAATGGGCAAGACTGCAGTTTGAAGATCAATTTAATAATCAAATCAAGCAACTTTTATTCAATTTTCCACCAGATCAAACAACATCTAGTGGTCAGCCGTTTTGGTCTGGACCCAAACGTTGTCCAAAACCAATTGCATTTGATATTAATAACATGTTGCATTTGGACTATATTTTTGCAGCGGCCAATTTAAGAGCAGAGACATATAACATTAACCAGATTAGAGATCGTATCTATATAGCCAATGTTGTATCTTCGGTCAAAGTTCCTGAATTTGTTCCAAGGTCTGGTGTAAGGATTGCTGAAAATGATTCACAGATCACAAATGGGTCATCAAATTATGATCAAAATAAACTAAATAAAACACCAAAAGATTTGCCACCAGCAGCCTCTTTAAAAGATTTTAAAATCGTTCCTTTAGAATTTGAAAAAGATGATGACAATAACTTACATATTGATTATATTGTGGCCGCATCTAATTTAAGAGCGTCGAATTATGATATTCTACCTGCTGACAGACATCAGAGCAAACTTATTGCTGGTAAAATAATTCCAGCCATTGCTACAACAACTTCTGTTGTTGCTGGTCTGGTTTGCCAAGAATTCCTTAAATTGGCTTGGGGAATTAAGGAATTGGAAAAGTACAAAAATGGTTTCGTTAATTTAGCTCTACCATTTTTTGGTTTTTCTGAGCCTTTAACTGCACCAACGTCTAAATATTATGATGTTGAATGGACTTTATGGGACCGTTTTGAAGTGGAAGGTGAACTTACACTTAATGAATTTATAAACTACTTTAAAGAAAAACATGCACTGGAAATCACTATGCTCTCCCAAGGAGTTTGTATGTTATACTCATTTTTTATGCCCAAAGCAAAGAGAGAAGAGCGTATCAATACTAAAATGTCTGATATTGTACGTAACATATCGAAAAAAAAAATTGAACCTCATGTCAAATCATTAGTTTTTGAAATATGCTGTAACAACACTGATGGCGATGATGTGGAAGTACCATATGTAAAGTACAACTTGCCATCAGATTTTAAATATTAAAATGTAAGTTGTACACAATATATAAGTTATCCAACTGTATGTTTAATGACAATACAAAATTTTACAATTGTAATTATATATACTTCTTTTTTTCAGGTTACGTGTCAAACTATTAATTTTTGAAAGGAATATTCATAAAAGATTTGAGAAAATTATTTATTATTACCTAATTTCTCTAATAGTTTTTATATTTTAAAATTGAGTGTATTTTTTTCTTTTTTATTCTATTATAAAATATTTATAGTTTGTGTGTTTACCTACAATAATTTCACAAAAATAGAATATAAATATGTATGCCTACTTTTCTTGTTAACTTGGGTGCCCAATCTAACTTATAGAGATAAAATATTTATATTAATAAAAGTAGTAAAAATGTGAATTTTTTTTATATACTTATTATTAATCACCTTTTTTATTTATCAAAACTTTTAGTTAATAAAACATTAATTCTTTATAAAGGTTCATATTCTTACAAATACAATTTAGTATATCATTGATTATTATGTAAATATTAAAATAATGCGAAAATTGAATTTCTGTATATTTTGATAATATGTAATACGTTTGTATTTGCGTACACAGAAATCTTTATATTGTATGATTTTTGTAATTTTCAAATAAATAAACATTTAGTAATATTTAATATGCATCTAACAATGTTATCTTCTTATAGACATTTTAAATATATGTTGTGTAAATAACTTATACCTTTCAATAAAAATTACAAAATAATTAATACTACAAATAATTGCATCAAAATGTAATAAGTTTCAATCATTCTATCAAATTTTCAAAATGCTTCAAAGGTAAATTACTTATTGTTAGCTTTTTACAATAAGACAAGAACATTTAAAATAATATACAATATGGTTAATTTAATTTTGATAGCTACTACTTATTTAGTTCAGATTTTAAGCTTAAAGGGAAACCTGTCAGTTTTAAAAGTAAATGTAAACAAATATAACACTTTAAGTTGTAATAATTTTCAGCAATATTAAGAATTATTATTTTATGTTGTGCATATTCACTGCTCGAATTGTTTACATAGAACATTCTATGTTTGTAATGAAATCGAGAAATTTCTTATTTGTTCAAATGTGAACAATAGAATTTATTTAATCAATTGAACAAATAAATTTTCTTTTGTGAAAACTTGTTACTTCAAAAACATTTTTACTCATTGTATACTAATGTGAAATTTGAAATTTTTCTTTTATTTGTACACATCAGCAAGTCAAACATTAAAATAGTAACTTTTTATGTATCTTGATAATTATATTAGAAAACCTAGTTAGAATTCTCTTTCAAGTCATCTTGAATTTAAAATTCAAACAAATTATTGATTGGTTTTTTTTTTTATTATTTTTAATCCTGTAAGTATATAGGTTATATTTAAATGATACATAACTAATTTAAAATACAAAAACAACACAATTTGGTTATTAAACAGGTTGGGAATTATGACTTAGGTCTTTATGTTTGAATGTTTAGCAACCCTAAATATAAAAAAAAATATATATAATAATAATAATTTATTCTAGTGTTAAGAAATATAAACATTATAGACAATTAAAGAGAAATAACATTAAAAATTGGTCTACACTGCGGTTTACCCTCGTATTGTAGAACAATGAGTAACTTAATAAAAATACAGTGTCTAATATGAAATTTTGAAAAGTATTTAATTTTAAGATTGAACAAAAAATAACAAATTGAATATATCAAGAGTGAAATTATGTTATTATTGATGTTTAATAGGAAAATATAACCTTATATAACTTATAGTAAATAAATATAGAAATAAAAAATAAATAAATGAATGAATGGCGTCACCTGGAGTATTATGATAAGTGTATTATACAACCGGTTTCAAATTAAAAATTCATCATCTGGTATATCGCAGTCAAAATGTAAAATGTGACTGAATATAAAAAAACAAAAATATTACTATATTATAGACAATATTGAGCTCGTTTAATTAACTTTACTATTTTTTTAAAATATTTTATCAGACTTATTTTCATATTTCTATTGGTGCTGTTTATGAAGTTATATCTTGTTTGATTTTGATTATTACATTAAAATAATGTTCATAATTATCAACACGAGTTTAATATTATCTTATAATACTCCAGAAGATGCATTCATTAATTAATTTATTATTTCTTTATTTATTTACAAGTATTAACCATTTTAATAATTTTGTGTTTTCTTTATTATTTTATTGAATAGATTAATTAGAGAACATAAGTACATTGAGAATAAGAGATGCTTATGAGTACATAGTTGGTTTATAGCTAGTGAGTTTTCAGTACTTTTCTGTTTGTAATAATCATAATCTAAAACACTTTTTAAAGATTTCATATGATGAGCAATTCTATAATGCGTTGGGCATATTTTTTATAAGCCTCTGGGTTACTTGAATGAAGTAGTTATTACATTCATTTCAATGTTTTATATCGGGTATTATAATATTTTTATTTCTGATATTGTATATGATTTTGATTTAATTAAGTTATCTTCTCTAAAAACATAGCTTATTGATTGAAATGTTTGAATAAAGCATTTGATGGAAACATTTTGGGCTTATTTAGTATTATTTTCAAAATAAACTTTGAGCCCCTAGAATTTTATTAATTAAGATTTGACTTCATGCCATATTGTATGACGGAATATATCATGGTGAATGAAAGTATTCAGAGGAAATACAAATTGATTAGTTCCCTAGACATCATGAGTCATGACTAGGTGTGTTAATTTGCTTAGTTAACAGATTACATTATTGGTGTGGATTTTCCATATTAAGTGGCTAGTCAATTACAATACCCAGATAGTTTGTGATAGATAGCAGTACAAGAGCAGTTTTTTTTAATGTAGTAATTGTTGTGGATTTTTAGTTGTTGAGGTTTAATTTTAAGTTATTTTAGAAACTAGTTATTAATTGTAATCCACTTTTTTTCCAAGACTATCAGCATATATTATTTGACCATTCAATTTTAATTTACCTAGTGCTGAGACATAAATTATGTAAAATATAGGAAATAAAACTGTTCTTTGTGGGACGCTGTTAGTAATTATTTTTTCTTCACTAAAATGATTATTAACCTGATTGATGAATAGTGATTATTGTTATTATTTAACCTGCTATTTGCATTCGTGAAGGTATGATTTAAATAATGGGAAAGATTTATTAGCTATACCTACGGAAGATATGATACTTAGTAGCATGTTACATGAAATTCTATCAAAGGCCTTACTAAGGTCTATAAATACTATTATAATTTTATTTTTGTTATATATGCCCCTGAATATAGTTCTTTTGTTAAGTATATAAGTGCGTCTTCCATACAAATGTTTTTACTGAAACCAAATTATGATTTTGGAAGGATATCATTTCCTCTAGATACACCAGTAGCCTATTTTTCATTGTTCTTTTGAAGATTTTAGGGAAAGCACTAAGCTGACTTATTGGTCTATACATAAAGATGTCTTTAATGGAATCCTCTTAGTGTATTAATGTTACAATTGCAATTTTAAATATTTCTGATAAGATTAAATATATAAACTAAGATAAACTGTAGTTAATAATTATCTTTATACTTTTTACGCTAATACCATATTTACTCGGAGCCGAGTCATCTTTCATGCAATTAACTATATTTATTATTTCTTCATTTGCGATTTTGCTAATGTAAAACAAATGACAATAATTATTGTTTGGATAGGAATGACTAGTGTAAGTTTTATTATTTGTGTTTTTATTATTGCCCATAGATGTAACATAGTAGTTAAATGCGTTTAATATTTTTTCGGAGTACAAATCTGAGTTATATATGTTGTTATTTATTGATATATTGAATTTGTGTGCGTTTTTTTTTAATATTAGTGGTGGCTTCTTTAATATTGTAGACTTACTTTTTTTGGATTGTTAGAAAGTTTGTTTATTTTTTGATTATAGTAATTTTGTTTTCTATTTGGATAATGTTGTATTGTTTGTTCCTGTATATTTTGTATTTACTTAAAAGAAGTGTGTTGAAAAGTTAGGATTTAAAAATTGTATGTATTTCATTGCATATTTTTATAGTTCTTATAATACTGAATTGATCTATTGGTTTTTGAATTTTGGATTTTGTTTTTTTAGTGGTTGTACATTTTATTATAATTTCAATATCAATTTTATTATAATATATAAATATATATTTTTTTTTAAACTGAATGAACTCAAAAAAATACATTAAACAAATCTATATTAGGTATTGTGCAGATAATTAAATTAATTTTTAAAGGGTTTAATAAAAACTTTTTTTCGCTTCTGTTTCTTCCGCATAACATTAACTTCATGTAATTCTGAGTAAACTTCCGCAAATATTTCTTTTTGTTCTTCTTCTGGTATTGTTCTCCTATAAAACCAAATATTAATTGAAAATTATAATAATTTAAATTGATAAGACAATTTGAGGAAATGTAATTTACCTATATTGTTTCATTAAATCATATTTCTCCCAGGGTGTGGCTAATTCTTCAGCTCTTTTATAAAATCGCTCTGGTAGTTCTAAATCAGCCAATCCCTTCATATTTTTTCTTTCCCACCGTGCACGCCAAGGTCTTGGTTTTAATTTTACCTAAACAAAAAAATTAGTTATATTTTGAGTTATAATATCATATTTTTAATAATAATTATTATTATTAATTTTACCATTGTAGTGTTAACTGGTATAGGTGATCCTTCAGGTAAATATTCAGCTTCCATATTTTCATCAAATGTACTATACTCATTAGGAGCATCTCTTAAGTATAACAACTCATCATCAAGACGTTTTTCTAAACGTAAAACTTCAATCTTTTGTATTGTTGGATCATAAAGTTGATATTTCATTTCAGTACCTAATTATAAAATAATTTATATTTTCCCAGGTAGAATATGTTAAGAAAATATGTATATGTATTCACCTATATGCTTTATAACATTTCTAAGAGTGAAATTAGCTCTAAGGCCACATCCTAAACGCTGTATGCATATACCAACAAAGCGAGTAGCTTTATTAGGAGCATGTTGATTAGATGATGTAACAGCCATGATGGTACCTGAGAATATGAAAAAAAATATATAGTAATTGAATAATAACCAAAGTATAAATATTGACTTATAGTTAATTAAATATATTATACATTCATAAATTCAAAACTAAAAAATATATTAAATTAAGAAAAATTTTCTAAAACAACTGTTTATATAGTTTATCTAAACTATAATTAGTTAATTATATAAAATTAAAAATACTAATGAATTTCAAGAATAAAAAATTGTTTGGTATGTTATGCTTACATAATATAAATGTTTCAGTTAATATCCTAATTATACATATAATATATTTAAGAACATGGTTTTTTTTTAACCCAAGATAAAATTATTCCGGATTGTGTATTATATTAATGTATGAATTTGATTAAAAAATTTAATTTTTTTTTTTGTTGTTTAAATATAATTGAAGCAGTTGAAACAATTTAGTTTTTAAAACAAAATTGTATTCTTATAGCAAAGAATTTAAAAAAGAAAAATAAGTATGCATACAAAAACAGTACACTACATTAATACACCCTCTAAATATCACTTATTCAAAATATTTCACAATTAAAACCTATAAATACATATAAAATCTCCATTCAAAATAAGTCAAAGTAAATCCTTACTAAAACCAATATATTTTAAAATACGAATAAAAATAAATAAATAAGTTATAATATGATATAAATGATAATTCTTATTTGATATTTTTATATAATGAATTAAGTTATGAATGTATTTTTCAAAATTAGAAATAGAAATGATTTTGACACAATTGTATTGCCATTTGTTGTTGTATGAAATAATATTAACAGCCTAATCAGCTTCAGTTAATATATTTACACTTATATATATAGTTGTGCTATTGCTATGTTGTCTGTTCATTGAGACATCAAATTTAATTTTTATTACCAAAAATTGGAAAAACGGTTAAATCTAGTTCAAGTTGTTCTCAAATAAAATGTAAGGGTCCTTTACACATACCTTATTTTCTCTGTCAATCTCGCTATGTACGAAATAGATTTGTTGCTATAATATGTATATAGCAACAAATACATTCCGCAGTTCAATGATGCCAACACTCTGGTTAAGGCCTATTATACATTTTTTAAAAAATATTATATACTACGTCTTGGTTCAATGATTTTCCTAGTATTATTTTTATTGTGAAACTAAAGAGTATTTTAATACAAGTTAATTTTAACCATAAATAAACTTATTAATAAATTAATATGTTAAAATAATCATTAGGCCAAGGCATGATAAATACTATCCTTTATAATATCCCTTAGCCTTAAACTTAACGGAGTGTGATAGACAGAGAAAATTGTATTGTGGTAAAAATATATATGACGGTAATTCTTTACTTGTATTTCTTTACATTTATAGGAGTGCACATAGGTAAACAGCTGTCTTCTCTGTAAGATTTACCATCCAAGTATATTTTTTATGATTATTTTCAGTATGTCAGAAATTATTTGTTTTTTAACATAATGTAATGGAACTTTAATCTAATGTAGATAATTTTAGAAGCATTATACATTTCTAGAGATATGAATTAGTTTGCATCATAAAAGTAAAAAATTGTGTAATTGTTTTCACATATTGTTTTTAAACAATTATTATTTTATTATATACCTGTAGTCTGTCTTAAAAGAGAAGAGACTGGTAGTCAAGTTTAAAATATAGATCTTCATAGAGAAAATCCTGCTAAACCAAATACTATCAGTTTACAATTCACTTTTAAACTAAATTTATGTTGTAAATGTAAATTTTAAAACAAATTCATAATTGCACAAACATTTGTTAGTAACTAAGTAAATTAATTTTAAAACTATTACAAAAATAAATTATCAATGTAAAATTTCAGAAATATGCCAATAAAAAGTTATTTAGGATGTCAAATATATATCTAGGCAATGTGTTGGTTAGAAAGGTAATTAGGTAGTTTGATCCATAGTAAATTGAATGTCATTTTGAGTGTAACAAGATTTGGATGGTTTATTTAATCTATTATAGGTGTGAATACCCATAAATTTATTTATCAATACACCACTAACCATGAGTATGTATATGAATTGATATCAAAGATTGCTGCTTTCCCTAACAAAAGGAAATGTACACACTTATGATTAAATAACTGTAGCTAAATAATGTACAATATTTGGTAATGGCAAATTAATAAATATCTCAGTAAAAATATTAGATTTGCTATAAATATCAAGATAAAAATTGACCATTCAATAAAATTAAAACAATAATGTTAAAAACGTTTTACAAACTATAATTGTATTATTGTTACCTACCAACATAAAACTCTGGAATATCTATATGCTTCCTTCTTTGAATCATGTCCATACGTTCTAGTTTTTCTCGTAACGGATTTCGCCATTGCATTTTTGGATCTGGGAGAAATTCAGGATATACATATCTACAGTTAGATGGAACAATTGACTTTCTTTCAGGTTTTACTTGTTTCTCAGATACTGTACCAACTGGGAAATCCTCCAGTGGAATACTGCTAGACAATCTGCATATCTGAACGACTAGAAAAAAAATGATTTTGTATACTTCAAATCCTTAAAATAAAATCTACAAAATATGACTGTTACCTGGTGCAAGTCCACTTTTAACTTTGTAAAGTTTCAAATTTCTTAGCAACATACTTATCTTTTTTTTTAAATAAGCTTTGTCTACAGTTCATTAATTTCAATTTTTACTTGTCAATACAAAATACATTTTAAAACATATATTATAATACTTTAAAAATGTACAATTAAATATTTTAGGGTCGGAAAACGTTTTATCGGATAACAATTCAATGATAAGATGTAACCTCAAAATGTCCCAAAAAGAACATCAGCGATAGTACTGTAGCTATAGGTAAGCGTATAGAATACAAACATTAAGTATAAAAAAAACTTAGGTGAAAACAGTGACGTCATTCAATTTTTTTTATGTGCATGTGATTGAAATCTTGTCTAGAATATTTTCAACACAACAAAAATAATGTAATCCACATATTTTCCAACACATTAATTAAACATAAAGTAATAACTAATAAAGTTTCACTCACGAATCATCATGGTTATAAAGAACTAGATAATCATTAACAATATGAACGTAAAATATCTTAATCATGTTTTTGATTTTAATTCAAAATAAAAAATACAATTTTAATTTAAAAATAAAATATGTAAACCAGAAATACGTAAATCACTATCCATTATTTAGGCCAAACAATTTATAACAGGGCTAAATTACGTTAATATTAAATTTTAAATACGCCAATGTATTCCATACGTGGTCCAAATAATGACGCCACTGAATGAAAAACTAAAATATATCGTCGGAGACACGAATTAAGATATATAAGATAGGTATTCGTGGTCAGAAGCATAGATCTATAAATTTAGTTTATAACTATGGTTGGAATTCTAGAGGTTCTTAAAAAAGATATTGTTATATAATAAGATATAGTTTTTATAAGTTTTGAACTTTGCTTAAAGGTGTAGGTAATTTTAATTGTTTCTTTAATACTTTGTAATTGTATTTTATAATGTACTAGTTTAATAATAAAAAAATCTATGAAAAAACAAAAATAATAATATTAATATTAAACGGTTCATAAAAATAAAATTGTGATCTGAATAAGTTACGAGTATGAACGATAATCTCGGAGCGTATGATATTAAACATACCTTGAGTCTTAGCACTTTGAGAGACGATTAGCGCTAGTGGCGTGTTTGTATCGCGCACCCCGCGTGCGTACGCTGAACTGCTTTATTATTATTTGCGAGCTTTGTGGTTGCAAACTCGCAAACTCCTAGTCGTGTTGTCTCGTTCCGCCGGACCACCAATCTGATTGACAGTGTTCGTTTTCGGACATTGTCCACAATAATTATTATTGTAAATATTATTACTTCATGTTGTAATCGGTCCGTCACGTGCGGTGACGATGTGATAACGACGGATTAGTGCTCATAGCAAGCCGAATTTATTGTGTATAATCCGCGACTAGTGTATCGGCAAGTTAAATCGTTCCATTCAATATAGTTTCGTTTTCTATTTCTCGTTTTGATTTTGATTTTGTGTCCCCTTAGGCGTGCAACATCATGTACAATGGAATCGGGTTGGCAACGGCCCGCGGATCAGGAACCAACGGATATGTAATACGCAACTGGGCGGCTGTAAAAAAAGTCAAGGATCAAACTTCGTTCAAGACCGAAGAAGAATTAGCCAAGATAGATTCTGCCTCTAATCGACAGCCAAACCAAGAGTTGTTAGATCACGATCGTAAAAGAAAAGTCGAATTGAAATGCATTGAACTTGAACAGTCTCTGGAAGACCAAGGGTAGGTATTGCCTATGCAGAACCTTTTTTTCGTTTGTTTGTAATACCTATATATTTTATTGATTCTTCTTTTAATTTATTCCTTTTCTAGTTATTCTCAAGACGAAATCATTGACAAAATTAATTCATTTAGAACTACGTTATTGGGTAAACACAAGTCTGGAACTGAGTATGATGAATTTGGTAGACCAATGTAAGTACACTTTACACAAGGTAGTTTAATATATAAATGTTTATTTGTGTATACATTTATGTAAACTTTGATTAACAAGTATAAAAATTATTTAAAATTTACTTGAAAATTTTAAAAATTAATTTCATATCACTATAGGTAGATTAGGTATACCTAGTAAATATGTATAAACATGTTTAAATAAATACTACCTTAAAGTTAAAATATTTTCACAGTTCTATTTAAATTAATATAGGTAGGTTGATTATGTTATAATGCATATTTTTATATTTTTTTTTTATTTTGTAATTTATAGATTATCAGTTAACTGTTGACTTTTGAGAGTAAACAAATACATTCAACATTTAAGTTAGATTTTTATATGTAGGTACTAAGTACAATAATAAATAAAATAGCACAATTTAGTAAAATTCATGTAGGCATTCATAATAAAATGTATTAAAACATTTTCAAATTTTTCTTTTTTGATTTATATTTATTAAAATTGTCTAAATTTAAAAAAATGTAAATGTATTCTGAAATGGTAGCACTAATCTGTAAACACTGTAAACAATGTGATGTTGTGCCACTAACATTACATCCCTGTTTGGATCAATACTAGAACCTACCCCTCCTTGCCTTAAGTTTATTGGCACCACCCACTAGTGTATTGTATACACAGTTTACTCTGGTGGTGATGTATGAGTCACTGTATTAAAATATATATATTTATAAATTTGTTTTTATATTTATATACATAAGTTGTGCTCATTTATTTTAGTTATTGTTTATCATGAGTGAAACTAGTATAAAATAATAATCCATGTAGAGTGTAGTTATGTAAATCATGGAGAAATTACAATATAAACCACCGTGATTTATCAAATTTAAATTATAATTCAATTATTAAATGTTAACCATGTCTTCCAAGTCTGACATGTGATATTGATAATTTAATTAATATAAATCTAGTCTTCCATTTAATTATACATATATATATATATTAATATTTAAACGAGTCTTCCATTAAATTATTTACATTTAATATTAAAACAAGTCTTCCAAATATTTTAAATTGTGATAAAATTTACTGAATAAAACTTAATAATTACTTATAAATAGATTAATTTTATATTTATCTATATTATATTAATAACATGAACAACCCAAATAATGTCGAGCAACAATCTTTTAAGCGGATATGGAGAAAAACCATAAAATCTGTGTTTAAAAATCCAACAAATGCCATGATAATGGCAGAAACAAAATCTGTTCAACAAGTCAATGTTAATTTAAAGAAAAAGAGGCCTAGACGCCGTCGGAAAAAAAAAAATAAACAGAAAACTTGTGATTATTGTACAGATAAATCAAATAATATGACTAAATCACCATCAACTTTAAATGAACAAGGCACATTATTTCTTCATCATATGCCCTGGGGTTGTCTGAATACTATTTGCCTTAATGGAATGCAGTTTGCTAATATTAATAGCTTAAAATCATTTTTAAGGTATTTTAATCAACCAAATTAAATTAATTGTATTAGAGAAATTTACATTAGTATTTATATATATGTATTTATTTAGAACTAGAAATTAATTTAGAATTTAAATACCTAACTGATTGCAGCTCTATAGAAATACATCAGCTATATTATATCTTTAGTACTTTATCTATTTTAATATATATGCATATATTACATCACATAATTTACCTAATACTATATCTGTATTCTATGTGATGTAAATATGTTATAAACATATTTGTATAGTCTAATATATTAATATATGTTAGATATTTCACTTCTAGATTATAACAGCTTATTAATTTTCAGCGTTAAGGATACTCATCAATATGCTGACGAACAATTGAAAAAAAATGCGAGACTTAGAGATGCTTTTGGTATATCAGAATTTTTCATTGAAGGCTCTAGCTTAGATCCAGAAAGAAAAACAAAAGAAGCAGCACTGGCCCAGTTAAAGGCGTTGCAGGTGGATCAGGCAGTTGCGCAAACACAAATGAATGATGACACCTCAACAAACAAAGACAGCAGTATAACAAATGAACTACAGTAAGTTGTAATTTTCTTATTTAATATATTTCATACATTTTAAAACATTTGTATCATAAGTACTTAACATTTTATTAATTTTAATATTAAGGTCTAAAAGTCCTACTAAACATAAGAAACGAAAGAAGAAGAAATCAAAATCTCATAAAACAGAAAAGTATGTATAAGACTAATTTTTTTTTAGTAAATAATCTACATTTTATTGGATTTATGGACAAGTATAAATGTTTACTAAACACACTCTAAGTTGATGATCAAAGATTAATTGATCTTTTTGTGTAATAGTTTATTTATTTCATTTTAGTTTTGAAGAACTACAATTGTATAAGTAAAACTTTGATCATCATATTATAGAAAGTAGCTTTATGAATTTTTGTGATACACTTAGATACCCAGTGAAAACTACTTGTTTAATTAGGCGATTTGTTGATTACTGTTTAGTTAAACTGATTAAAGGATATTAAACTAAATAGTGGTAAGTTACTATGTTTTCCATACAATAATTTTTGTTTTGGTGTGATTTTCCAAACAGTATCGTATTCTGCTATACTCATTTTTAATAAAATGAAATACTAAAATAAATAATTTGATCACAATTTAATTAATTATTTCGCTAATTATTAAAAACATTTTTCAAAAATAAATACTTTAAACTGTTCAAATACAAGTATATTTTTATTGAGGCCAAATAATTATCTCATTATCAAATAGTATTCAACAATTATTTTAACTTAAGTATTTTTCTGTTATTTTTATCTTGTTATAATTATTATTTATTATTATTATTATTATTTATTTTGTTTTTAAATTTACATTATGAATTTATATAAATACAATTTCAGATTATTGTTGTTTCGCCGTTATGAATTATTTTACTATCCTTTTTAATCAAAATAACGTTTTAAATAGGTAAACTCCTAATTGTTTTTAAAAATTCTCATTAATAATTTATCATAATTTTTGTCTCAAATTTTGTTTTGAAAGTTATTCAAAATTATATTACGTGTCTATTGTGATAGAAAATATATTTATTTGAAACTAATTAAATCTTTTTTTTTTAAGAGTTATAATAATCGATAATACCAATTCAAATAAAATTATTGGTTTTTCTTACTATTGGCGAAAATCAGATTAGTTTTTTAATTAAAATAAACAAACAATTAATATTTCAATTATAATTTAAACCCATACCTTGTAGAAGAAGATGGCAGGATAATTTTTCCTTTTCATAATTAATTAATTAATTAAATAAATATATTTTTTTACATATTGGATTTAGTTTAAGTATTAAGGTAATTAATAAATGTATTGTGTTTGCAGAGAAAAGGGAAGTGATAAAAAAAAATCAAAAAAACACAAAAAGAAACACGTTTCTTCATCTGAAGATAGTCCAAGGTATGTAATTCAAATTCATTATAAAAAAAATTAAAATAATTTGAGATGCGAACAAAACAAAAAGTTTTTTTTATATATTTAATTAGGTGAATTGATAGATAGTAAATAATTTCATATTTTTATTTCAGAGATGTTGAAGCAAAAATTAATAAGAGTCCTTTACAGATAAAATCAAAGTGTGATTTTGATAAATCTAATAAAGTAATTATAGAAAATAGTAAAAAAAAATATGAATCTGAAAATAATCATAAAAAACACTCGAGAGATGATGATAAAACATATAAGAATGATAAGAGAGAACTAGAAAGTAAATATAAGAGTGATCGAGGGGATTACCGTAGGAAAGATTCAAAAACCGACAATTACAAAAATTCAAAAAATAAAGATATTGTTCATGAATCTAAAAAACAAGAAAATTCACCAAGACATACTAAGTCACCAGTTAAAGGACGCGATAGGGATAGAGCAAGAGATTCCAATAAATATTCATATAGACATCAAAAAAGTTGTGACGATAGTAAATCTAGTAAAGGAAAATATAAGAAATCTGATAGAGCAGACTCAAAATACAATTCAAAGAAAAGGAATGAAAGTCCTGTAAGAGAATTTAGAAAACCAATTATTCAACCTGAAAAATTAACTTGTATAACTTCTGGTAGTGATAGTGAAAAATCATGTTATACACCACCTCCTAAGGATATGAATGCTACATATATAAAATTAGGCCAACCGAAAATTAATGAAGAAAAAAATGTTAAGGGTACTAAATATACATTTTCATTGCGTGAGCAAAGTGAGGATCGTTTAGTTGTGACTAAAGCTAATGGACGTCCAAATAACATAAAAATTTCATCACAAAATAACGAAACTCAACTGAAAAAATTGGATTCTCAGAAGACAAACGAACGAGTAGATAAAATATTTTTAAATTCAAGCTCAAGTGAAGCTGGTGAATTAGATGGTGATATTGATTTAAATATAATTAAAGAAATTACTACAGAAAAAATTAAAAAAGTATTTGAATTGCACGAAAAACAGGAGCAAGCATTGCTTCATCTGAAAAAAAAACTAATGGAGAAAAAACGTAAAGTAAGAACTTCTTCCAGTTCAAGTGAAAGTTCTGAGGAACCTGTAAAAAAAAAAAGTGTCAAACGAAGACGTATTAGAGATTCCTCATCTAGTGTCAGGTTTGTTAATTTTTGATTAAATAATTTTTAATTAAACTGTTTCGTTATTATTAAATAACTATTTTCAGTTACTTTATTTGTTTACAGTGATATGAGAAAAAAATCCAAACGCGTACGTTCTAGTAGCAGTAGCAGCAGTGCAAGCGACACTAGCATTGACCGTCATAAATCATCAAAACGTCGCTCATCTGACAAATATTCAAAGAAAAAGTCACCATTAACACGCCGTCGTACTAAAGGAAGTACATCTCGATCAGTTTCCATTAGCTCAATTGATCGCTTACGTAAGAATCGGATTTCATCAAGTGAGGAATCCAGTCCCAGGCGTAAGCATAAATCCTCCAAACGCAAACGTTCGTCTCGAAGACAAAGAAGCAGTGATAGTAGCAGCTGCAGCAGTAGATCATCATCGTCTTACAAAAAGAGAAGACGTTATAGTTCAAGTCGTTCGCGTTCTACTAGTAGTTCATCAAGCAGTCATTACTCTCGCAGTTCTAGTTCTAGCCATGACTCTAGCAGTTCTGTGTCTAGCCGTAGTTCAAAGTCTCGATCTGCATCCATACCTAGGCGACGGGGGTCGCCTAGCTTTTTGGATCGAAGACGAATTACAAGGTAAATTTTAATGTTAGTGTGTGTTTTATACCTCCAATTTCATTTTTAAATAAATATATTTGAGTTAAAAGATTCCATAAAATGTTTTAAACTTTATAAAAGATAATATGTTACATTTTTAATTACTCAAATTCTCAAACAAAATAGTAAAATTATGTTCCTATCTCATTTTAAATTATGCTCGAATCACGATTTGGATGATGAGACTGGAACACAGGTATCAGGATAATCAGTTTATGTATTTTGTATAAATATTGTCCAGTGTGTGTAAAATACCTTTTTGTAAATTTATGGCAAATTTAAATATTACATTTTATAACAATGGGTCTTATTTATCTACGAGTTTTTATTTATTTATTGTTCATGTATTTGATTATAATATTATATTTAATCCTATAAATGATACGCCATTAATTTATGAAAAGGTCCAAGTTATTTTTGCTAATTCAATATATTATATTAGCAAAACTAAAAATTATTTTAACTATTTATTATTTTGCCACCCTCATGTGCTTAAATTGTTTCTTTCAGTTATTATAATTTGTTTTTTTTCTTAGTAGATTATGATTATGCATGACCATGTAGATATGAATTACTATTATCTTAACAATAAAAATACCTGTACGATTTGAATTTCTCAAACAATTTTTACTGTGTTTTTATTTCTTTATTGTTAATTCTTAAACGGATTAAAATGAAATGAATTTTTGAATGCAAAATCGTACAATACAAACTATATTTATATAGTGTACGTTTTTATTTTTATTTTTTGTTATTAAATGTATTATTTTTTATTATATATCTTCACGTATTATAAGGACCATGTAGTAGACCACATACACCCATTTGAATTATTGCTTTTGTATGACATGTAAAAAAAAAAAAAAAATATAATATTTTAAAACGGCATATATGCACTTTGATTTTTAATTTCAAGACATTATACATTTTTTTTTGCTTTCAGATGATATGCATCATGGCTACGTTATAATTTGTGTGTGTTTTTATTTTCATTTTGTTTTATTTAGATTTGATATGTTTTGATTTTTTGGCAGTTTTTTTTTTAAATTTACAAGCTGGTAAATATTGAACTTCATTTTCACCTCATACTTTGAATTCTGCAATAAGATGTCCAATAACGGTTGAAAATTATTTTGTAGTGCGAGAAAAAGACCTATCCCATACACAAGACTAACGCCGTTTTCCACCAATTCCGATACGGATAGTGTCATCAGCGTGCACGATTCGCCGTATGCTGAGAGCCACTAACTCGGAACTAATATTACATACACTAACGCGATTTGTTATAGTGCAATAACCATTAGGCCAACTCTTAACAATTTTGTTATTTAACTTTCTAATCAAACATTGGAGTATGGACTAATAAGATTCTATTGTTATATAATCATTAATCAACATTCCTAGCAAAAATGAGAGTTATTCTAATACTAACATTCCAAGTAGAATAATCTAATAAATAAGACTTAAACCAACAAAATCTAGTCAAAAATCTAAGTCATTATTTTACTTCTCTATTATAAAATAAAACTTTTGTGATAATTTATTTTTGACGGGAATAATACAATGTTTTTCATGTTATTAATATTATGTTGTTCAATGTTATTAATTATATAATTTTTTTTTTTATATGTATGTGTATGTGTGTGTTTATACATATATATAAATGTGTATGTTAAAAATGATATTGTTTCAATAATTTTCAAAATATCCGCATTTAAGATTCCTCGGTATAATGCAAAATACCAATAGCAAGTAAATATTCTATTACTAATTTTTAATACAATATATTTATTGGATTTATGATAGATTTAATGTCTGTTTGTACTTAAAAATAAGTGTGTGCAATAACAAACACGCATATTAATAACAACCGCATAACTATTGCTTTATTACAAGATTACTGTTTAAAAAATTACATTTTAAACAGTTGTACAATTCAATCTTTCATGTATATTTAAATACCGAATTGATTTTATTGTTATTGATTTATAATGTATATACAATAAAAACAGTCTTGGAATTCTACAATAAACTTCCCAGTTTTATAATTCAAATAAAGTATAATTAACAGATTCAATTGCTCAGTCGTTTGAAATACAAATTAATATGTCTTTTACAAAACAAAATATATATTATATATTTCTAATAAGCGAAACTATGAAAATGGTTTTTATATACAAATTAGGTAACAACATTTATGTATCTGTAACAATTTTGTTGTGTGGAATTTATGTTTGTCTTTCTTCAGTATTAAAATAAAAATAAAATACTGAATAATAAAAGTCTTGTAATGTAAAAAAAAGAAAGAAAGAAAGAAAGAAAATATTTATATAAGATTCTTTAGAGTCTACACAGTAAAAGAAGTGCTCCAAGAAATGCAATTAGAGCTCCAAATATTGGCATTAATTTCATAGAATTTACATCTTGTGGATCTGGCGCTTTAGGTCCACTTGGATTTCTACTATGCTGTACTATTTTAACAGGTTCTTTGCCTGCTTCATTAACTGGTTGGTCTTCTTCTACTTCAATTTCATCTGGTGGTTGTGGTTCAATTTCCGAATACAAATCTGGTAATCTTGGTATATCTAAAAAACAATAAAATTTAAAATAAACAAAATTACACCTAATAGTTATAATATTAATATTCAATTAGTTATCATAATATCTAAACTTGGTCCCAAATTACCAGAAATTCTGCCTCTGGCTACTAGTACTGCATTAACTTTAGGATTATCTCGTTCACCCTATTAATAAATGCAAAAATAATAGATATTAGTTAAGTAAAATAAAAATATCAAAGACGGTTTTTTTTATATTTTCATAATCAAACAAAATTATAAATATATTAAAATTGTATATGTATTTCTATGTTGGCAGCTGTATGTTTAGTAAGGACATAACATTATATTAATTTATTTTATTATGAGCCTTAAAAAGCTCGTTTATACAAAAAAAAAAAATACAATTTGTTATTTTGATAAGTAAACATACTTATAGTATTATTTAAATAATTACAAAATCATTTATCATGTAGTCGCATAGTCGTCAAATATTAAAAATAGGTAAGAATTTAAAAAAATGTATTTTAATAATTAATTATTAATTAGCTTTTAGGTAATTAGGTACCTAACCTAATAAGTGAAATTATGAAATTGAATTAATATTTTCAATGAAAATACTTAAAAAAGAATAAGTAAAATTAAATTAAAAACAGTTTTTGTATAACTAACATATTATTATATTTAAACAAGCATACTTTAATAAAATCCACTCTGACAAGATTTCCTTTAATTTCAGATATTTCTCCTCTCCAATATAGTGTTGTGCCATCTACTGTAAATTCAATATACTCATCATGAGCAGAACCAAATCCAACTTTATCATAGATATCTAACAGTGGTACTACTATGTGTTGACCATTCAGCAGAACATCAAAAACCTAAAATAAAAATGGTACTTAATCAATACAACACTTAGAAATAACGACTCATTATGACAAACGATACCTTTAAACCACTATTTGTAAAGTATACTTCGCTGAACTTTAATACCATCACATAATCACCGTCTTGCATGATTGGTATGTCATACCCAAAAGTAGTTTGAGAATACCTTTCCGTTTGGTAAAGTATCTGATCATGAGGCTTTACGCGCTGAATGGACAATTTCTTGCCATAATCCGATTCTGTACCTACTTTATTGAAATCTCTTTGGTACAGTATACCGTAACTATCTACGTGCGCGTCGCCACCAGCGTTTACTGCGAATATCACATCCTCTTTGTCGAGGCACCGGCAAAGGGACGTGTTCATGCACAACAACAAGATTAGGAAAGCCCACATCTTGTTGGCTACTAGCATTCAGACTGTCAAGGTGTATCGGCCCAATCGTCAAAAGAATGCAACGATCATAGTACCGGTTTTGTACGTACCGACTGACCCAGTCAGTCTCTGGTCGTTCTTCTGTATAATACCGTCATTCGACCTTTCGCTGACGTGTTTTTTGTCGAAAAATCATTTTTGCCAACGAACTAATTTTCAAATATGTTTACACAAGACATGACGGCTCGAACGGCGAAAAATTGAAGATCAAAATTCAAAAGAACTTTGATACCTAAGCGAAAATATACACTCGGTAATGAGCAGATGAGCATCGGATCGGCCAGTTTTCTACTTATCTATAGATCAGCTACTTGGCTGTTAACCACAAACTAAGATCTTAGTTCGTGCTGTTAACACATTTAACCATCGTTTTCGTTGGTCGCACTGCTAATCTATATTGTGATAAGCCGCGATTACCAATGTGAAATTCTTATCAAGGCCGAGTGGTAGAGTTCAATGATCTCCAATCGTTACGATAATTTTATGAGGGTAATGATACTAATACACACTCAAACTCTCTTTACGTCGTCACGCCGGTGCATAAGGTATGTTAGTCGCCCAAAATAATATTTTCCATGACTTTCGATTTGTTTTTGATCAATAGTACATGAACACGTTACACAATATATCATGATATAAAACAGAACGTTTCGTTATAAATCAAAATTCGTTTTGACTGTTGATATAATAATAAATCGTCAAGTAAAAGCCATACAAATTTAAAAATCACAATAATCAAAATAATATTATTATTTTGTAATTGGGTTCTTTATCTAGCCAAAAATTATAGGCCAGAATGGTGGGTATCTGCCGACTACAGCGGAAAAGTATCAGATAAGTATACTTATACCTAAGGATAGTATACTTATATTGTAATACCTGTATAATGATGGACATGATCAAAATATTTACTTCCTATTGAACTATTAGATGAAAAAACTTATAATCAGTAGAACAAATATTTTCTAAAATTTTTCGAAAAATATCTCGAATAGCTTTTCGATTTTTAATTTTGATGGAATAACCGTAAAAACCTACAATTTCCACCGAATATTAATTGTAATATTATAAAAATGTTAATACTAATATTTTCTATAATATGATTCAGTTTCCTTAACAATCTGGTGATTTTTAAGTTTATTTTACAGCTACATCATAATTGAATTAATTCGTGTTTTATCAGTTTTTATTATGTAGATAAAACTTGTGGCTTTTTACAAATGCTTGAAAATTCGATACAAGGTATCAAACTATCATCATATGAAGTTTTTATGGCACTATTAATTGGTAATTAATACATCGAAAATCCGAATATATGATTTTCTTATGAATATTTAAAGTTCAAAATTTGGGAAAAAAATGAAAATTTTAACACGTCATATACCTACTATTTCTTGATTTATTTGAATAAAAACTGTTGACCTCGCAAATATGATTGAACAATTTATACATTAATATGACGTCATATGCTATAATATGCTTTTTTTTCGTAATTTTAATTCGTTAGCGTATCCTTAGCTGTATAAATGTGTTAAAATAACGAAAAAAAACGACGGCACGACACAGATAATGTTCTCATCTTTAATGGGTCAATTCAAATAGGTTTTAAAATTATAAAGTCGATCGTTGACCTTTCTGAACGAAAATTTGCTATGTCGAGTAGTTTTAACAGTACATGTGGGTATGATGACGTCCTTATAAGCATTTAAAGTTCAAATTTGTATGGAAATTGTAAAACCCAAGGAATTTCAAAACGTGTTTAATTACATGAACTTTACTCAGAATCGTTTATCATTGTGTATGGCAATGGTTCATCGATGTGTTGGCTCGTAGAAAATATAAGTACAAATATCTTTTTCATATTTCCAACTTTCCATCTAAAACAGTAGCACACCTATTAACATATCAGATTTCTTGTGTAATTTAATTAAAAATAATCGTAGACCTAAAACTTTCAATTAATATAATATAGGTGCCACCTACTAGTACTTTCTAAACGGGGCACGATTTTTTCAAAATATTCTGACGTTTTTTGAGTTATTGTGATAACTATTTGAAATTTTCAAGTTTTTGTTATGGTTTTATTTGGATAACAATTTTGTAATAAAAAAAGTTAGGTAGTGGGTATTTATATACTGATGACGAACTAATTCGTCATGCTCATACTAATATATCTGCAATCTGCTATGTATAAGTTTAATGTAAGTAGAAATATAGTTGTAGTGTTTAAAACTGACACAAACCCAGAGCCATGTTTAACGGAGGGTAAGGGGAGGAGGGTAATTTACCCCTCGGTTGGCAAATTTTATGGTGTTTGATGGGGCAACACATTTTTAAGACCAAAATAAAAATGAAAAAATATAATATATTTCGGGTATTCTTTATATTTCCTATAGGTATACATATTTTGTTCATAAATACCAAATATTATTAGGTACTATTATTTACACTTTTATCTAGCACTAGTTAAGCATTGCCAGGCCAGCTAGTATATTTTTGAATAATGGTGTAGGTAACTTTGGAAATTAAAAAATTAGAACAATAGGTATATAAATATAATAAAAAGTAATTCCCCTTAGTTTGTGACGGGAAAATGATATACCTATCGGCCATCACACTTTAGTAATAAGTGAAATGCAATAATAATATTTCGAAAATTCAAATAGGTAATATGGGTAACATCGAGTAGCGGATTTGCGGTAGATAGTTGAACTTATAATGAATAGACACAGGCCATATTTATTCCATTGTATCTATGCCACAAGCTCACAAGACACGTAACGACAAAAAATTGATTATCTATAAAACAGATTAGACAGATTTAATGTTCATGAATTAGACCACGGTATTGGGATATTATAATATCTATTTTTATAGACCGTGTAGGGTTGTAGATAAGGTGACCTTATGGATCTATGTGATACACCGTGGTTATAGATAAAACAACGACCGTGGTACAATCACAGAATAGATAAAAGATATTCGGCACGCGAACACAATACACATACGCATTTTTTTTCAATTATTCTACTGTTTTTTATTTTGAAGTTATTTGGGTCGTCGCTTTTCTTTTTTGCCGCGATCAACCTCCTCATGTCTGAAGTTGCTCAACTGTAGTCTATAGAGCATAGAATATAGATACATTTTTTATAACTAGTTTAGAGACGTTCACCAATTACAAAACAGAATCATGACGTCCTCCAAGTATTGTGTGAGAACTCGAAATAGAATAAAACTGCCCAATGCAAAGGTGAGAAACGCTTGTATTTGTAATTATTATACTAATAAAATTATTGTCACCACTAACGACATTTTCAAATACACTTGTTGACGTAGATGGTTTTGTCATTTTTTTAAAATTGTTTTAATTTCAGAATTTAGAAACGGAACAGGACCACGATGAGTTTTTGTCCAAGTTGACTTCGGCTTTGTGTTGTGAGAATTTTAATAGACTTCCTCTCAATTCCAGTCTCGGGCGTTTGCCATTATCTGGTATAAAATATTTGCTTTATTTATTAATTATAAGGTATGCATTATTATTACTAGTGATTATAAATACTATAATATGTATAATCTATGTTATTACCAAATAGGTAGTAAGTTATATACAACTACAATTTATTTAAAATAAGATTTAGATACGTTTTTCATGATTCACCGATAGCAGTTGGACAATCTGTTTTCACAATATTATACCTACTGCTGCCATATGTCTTTTCACATGGTGTTAATTATAGTACTATATCTAGCATACTACCTAGTTATATATATTGTGTGTAACCTAGTATACTGTAGTACCTTTACTAAATTCTATTCACACCATAATGTATAAAATATACTAGAAAGTACCTAGCAACAGCAAAGATAAAAATTATAAGTATGTTACAAAATTAATTATTGTATGCATTCAATCTATCAGTAGTTTCGACCCTTGTGGTAACATGAGCGTAACATGTCGTATCATGTATGAGTTTTTAAAATTTTTGTTTTAAAAGTGATAAATCAATTTATAAATCAGAATTTTATTATGAAAAACTATTAAATCATTAAGACTATTTATTACTAATAAGTAACACATTAAATTATTTAGTCAAAACTTGCAAATATATCAGAAATAAAAATAAAAATTTACAATTTTTATTATAATACATTTTATTTTAAATCTGACTGTGCTGTTCGACAAGATTTACAAATATTACTTGTATGTTCTTTTCAAATAGGTATGCTTGTTACATAGCTTACAGCAAACTTAAACATGATAAATTTTTATAAATATAATTATTTATAAAAGTTTATTATTATATTTTACGTTCTTTTTATCAAAATTATCAAGTTATGACTAGTCATATTTTTAACATACAATTATGAATTTGGTAATGTTATTTATAGAAATATTCTTAGAAATAAGTAGATAAAGTATACATTAGCACCTAAGTTGTTAAATAAAAGCCAGTGGTAGCTAAATTAGTAATTGAGTGAACATCAGGCTCATATATGATTGCTGACAGGTTAAATCCATATTGTAATTGATACAATACATCCTATAGTATTACATTTTAAATTCTGAGTGAAGTGATAAATGTATTAGTCTCATAATGATGTGCATTTCTTATTTAAAGTGCCTGTTTTCTATAGTAGGATAACAATTTAAGTGTGGTTTCTGGTGACTAATAACAAATTTTACCGTCATTAAAAAATATCAAAAATTCATGTGCAAATTTTTTTCTATAGATATTTGAAGTGGAAATTTGGACATTACAAATTGGAAAAATAATTATTTTAGTTATTTGGTTGTATCCTGGGTAATTGAAAAAATATTTGAATTTTGATATACAAATTTTGCCATGAAGTATGTTATTATTTATTAGGCAATTTAATTTTCAAAATATTAGATCAATTATAAGCTATTTTTACTATGAACTTATCACAGTTCACACCAATATAAGGTGTATTGTTATTAAAATAAAATTAATAACAATAATGTATTAAATATTACAATAATTTATAATTATCAATAATATAATAAAATAGGAAATGCAATTATTCTGGTAGAAATATCTATTGTTTTCCTAATAGAAAAATATATTACAATAAATTATTTATTGTTGTTGATACTCGATCGTGAACTTGTGATAAAATTGTAATACATATTGATAAATTGTCTGTATTCTGATTGGCTATCAATATTTCTATATTGGTGAATAATCTGGAAAATTAGATATGTTCTATTACCAACAACTGTATATTAGCGTGATTCCTTCAACCGGTATACTTATTTGTAATTCACAATACAAACTAATATACAAGTTATCACAAGGGATAACACAATAAATTGTATTATAACGGAATTTAGGAACCTATACCTGGGTGTTTAACATCTTGGTTCAGCATCCAAATTAGTTAATATTGTTATAGGTACAAGCCATAACATTGTAAAAAAAACCGTTGAGATATTATATACATATTTATATCAATATTACCCTTAAATTCAGGTGTATAAATGAAAGGTATAAACTATATCCATGAATTAGTGATGGGTTTTATTGTATTTTTCTATAAAGGAATAAAGTAGGTAATTTTATTTAATTATTATTTACATTTATATTATATTATAAAAATCATATAAAATTAAATGTATACTAAGATTTTTGCTCATTTTATTACAGAATTGGCTCAAGAACTTAAAACAGGGAAATTAATATCAAAATTTGAAGATTTTGATTGTTATTCTGATGGAGAAGATGAATCACCATATGTTTATACTTGTTCGTTTGTATTGGCTATAATGTATTTTGAACGACTTAAAGCATCCAATCCTAATTATTTAAAATGTATTAACTCATCAGAATTGTTTCTTATGTCTTTGGTAAATTTAATAAGTTTCTAGAACCTACTCAATTTAATAATGCTCTTCACATAAATGTATTTTTAATTTGTATAGTTAGTTGCTAGTAAATATCTTCATGATGATGGTGAACTTGATTCGGCGATCAATAGTGAATGGGCTGCAGCTTATGGTATCAGTCTTAAAACTATTAATCAAATGGAAAAAGATTATTTATCTGCCATGGTAATGTTCTTTAAATATAAGATCTTATATACATTCAATTATTTTTAATCTAATAGTTTCCATGCTCTACTCAAATTTTTGAATAATAAACCTAAGCTCTATTAAAATATTTTAAGTTTAAACCAGAGACTGGAACTTTTTGAATTTATCAGTATTGGTTCCTATACGGTTCTCCAAAAATAAAATAACTGTTTTGGCTTGGGTCCGGTTAATTTTTAGTAGGCACCTAATATAAATATTATTATTATTTTTACTTTTATTTGTCTGTAATTTTCTTACAAAAATATGGAAAAAGTAATATTGATCTACAGCTTTTGTATACTGGCTACAATATGTGTGAATTATGGTGCTTACTAGGAAAGACATTTCCAATTAATATTATTTCAATGAATGTCTGGCATGTAATCAAATCGTAAAAAAATAATAAATTTAAAATTTAAATACCTATCTAGAATTCGGGTTTTTATATATTTATAGTTAATAGTATGAGAAATATTAGAAAATTCAGATGATCATTCATAACAAATTATTTGTACTATTTATAGTTTATAGCTTATACTAATAAATACTAATAAATTATGTAAATCAAATTATTTTATTTTTGAACCTATAAAGGTTTTGGTTCCGGTTCTAGTTTTTAATATTTTAAAGTTTCCGGTTTTAAAACCGGTTATTTTAGGTTCGGTTACAGTCCCTAATTTAAACTTTTTGACAGTAATCTTAAAATTTACCATACAGTCTCTTATATAAATGGCTGTTCCATTTACAAATGATACAGATGATCTTAATAGATTTGTAGAATGGTGTACATTAAATAATTTTAGTTTAAATGTTTTAATTTATTTTTTTACTGTAATAAAAATAATATGTTATTTGTATACTTAATTAGGAAATCTAAGTTTCCTGATTTGGTCATTATACATGACCTTGGTGTAACATTCCAGTCAAATCTACTTTTTTCTACTTATATAGAGAAAGTGTGCCTAAAAACAGTTACAATTTTGAGCTTTTTAATTAGATCAACCAAATCTTTTCTTAATGAACAGTGTCTTACAGTTCTCTATTGTTCCTTGGTCCATTCCATTTTTCAATATTGTTCCATTATATGGAATCCAAATTCCCTTAGCAATTCAGAGATACTAGAAATAGTGCAAAGAAGATTCATTCATTTTATTGACTATAAAAGGAGAATAACTAATACCCAAGATAGATGACCTCCTTTTTAACAATATCCAGCTTTATCAAAAACTAGATTTCCTTTCTACTCTTTGCAAAATGACTGGTATGTCTTTCCTTTATCAACTATTAAACAGAATTATATTGTGACTACCATTGCTTGACCAAATTCCTTTTTATGTGGTAATCTACTGTACAAATTATAGGGGGGTAAATCACTAGCCAATTTTTTGTACACCAGACTTTCAACTTTGTATACTTTCATGTACTTCCAAGTAGTTCCAAAGTAATTCCAAATATTTGTATACCTATTTCTACTTTGTACTCCTCTCAAATTATGATCAATATAGTCCACTGAATTGGCATTATGTTGAAAATAATTTTTCTAACTAGTCTATCAAATTTTAAGCATTACTCTTCAAATTTTTGATTTTCTGTATTATGATATTATGTATTAATATGTTCTGTTTACATACCATAAATGTTTACCTTTGTAATAATTAATTTATTGTAAATATTTATTACTAATACACTTGAGTCTATTTAATAACTTTAAAATAAATTATAATAATTAAAATTAAAAACTGATAAGAAATATAATAAAATCTCTCCCCCAAAAAAAATATATAAAAGGAAAATGTAAAAATGTATAGTATATTATAATAGAAAACAAAATATTAATTTTTGGTAAGTTTCATAAACATAAATACAATCCATTAGTAGCATTGATTTTCTAAAATGAGTAATGGATAACTTAAAAATTTTAAAATAATTGGAATTTTCTAAATATAATGAATTAAGTCTAACCTACCATAACAACAGTATTTACATTGGGAAATGGATTGTGTATGAATAAGACTCGCATAATGATGAGATACACGAAAAAAAAAAATTAATCAAATCAAATTTGTTTTTTATAATTTATTTCACCGAGTTTAAAATTCACAGTTATTGATTGTCATTTGTTTATTGGAATGTATTTATAGAACTGGGAATTTTTTATAAGTGATGAAGAATTTACTACCAAACACAAACAAATAGTTGATCAACTATATGGTGATTTGAAGAAATCAAATTCTGTTCTTTTGAAAATGTTCCTATTGATATCATCAGTTGTACAGACAATTAGAAAGGTTAGTTATTATTTTATTAAATTTATTTATTATTCAAATTTATTTATTATTCAAATTTAATTATTTAATGATATTATTATTTAGTTGTACAGAAGGAAAATTGTTCGTCAGAAAATTAAACAAATGATTGCCATGTCTACTGTTATTACTGTAGTAACTGCTACGTCTATGCGACTTAAAATTAACAATGAAAATCAAAATTTGATACCAGAATTATATGATGAAATTGAGTCTAATCCAAATTATCCAATAATTTCCTTCACACATAATAATGAGACAGTACATCCAGAACATGCTACAGATGATTCTAAAACATGGCATTCATATAACTCTAAATTAGTACAATTACTCGATCATTTGTTACTGATGAATATCTGTGTGTCTGAGAATCGTCAATTACTACATCAAACTACTACCACTAGTGATACTGATATGAATCATATTCAAAATACAACAAATTTAAAATATTTTACGTTTTTTAATTATCTAAAATCTGAAAATCATAAGTCTTGAAATATTCTTTTGTTAAAATAACTATACATTTTATATTGTACAAAAAACAAATGTGATTTACATGATGATAAATTTATATCTGCATTATAAATCATTTTTATCTCAGATATAATTTTTTATAATAATTAATTTAAAAATTGCTAACACAATTATTATAATTTTAAGAAAATGTCAAATTACACTAAGCATAAGAAAAAATAATTTATTTGAATTTAAAAAATAATTTGTTTTTTTAATTTCTGTACAATCCAAATATTTTTAAATTCATTCAAATTTGTCAAAAAAATTAAACTTAATTTGTTATAGTTTAATGTTTTTCCATTTATCAAGACATTTTTTAAAGCACAATGAATTATGATAATAAGACTGGAAAATATATTAAAGTTCAATATATTTGTAATCAATTTCATATTTATTTTGATTGTTATTAATCATAATGCATATTAATTAATTTCTATTATGCATGGAAATATAATTTATTTCCATGCATAATAACAACATAATTTAAATTTTCTTAAATGTATTTAGCATTATTGATTGTAAAATATTAAAAAACTAAAATTAAAATATACTCAATACAGAATATGAAATTAAAAGTAGTTTTGTTATCATACAAATAGATTTAACAATTTGTACAATCAATTACAGAAATTAATAGAAATAAATAATTTGGAAAAAAATTAATGATGAAATCCATGATGAAGTCACAGTAAGAATTTTTTTAACAACAGTTATTATTAACATTTTAATTATTTGAAAAACATAACTAATACGAATATAGAATTGTCCGGTTTGTTTGTCACTAAAAAATGACTAATTAATATTATGTGTGATAAGTTATTGGTATTTACAGGTAGATAATTTATTTTGGGTAATAAAAAAATAACAATATTTTAACCGGTAGCAAATTATCTTGTATAATTTGTATGTTTGTAACTGTTATAGCATTAATTGTTAACCTGTATAAATTGAATTGCCATTTTGTTTTTTACAGAGTTATCAACAATTGTACAAATTACACAATTTAAGTATGTATTCATCTAATCCCTTGAGTATTAGAGCACAGCAAATAATTACTTCAGAGACTTAGGAATTTTCTTTAATTTTAATATGGATTTTTCCATCCGTATTAATACTCATTAAAAAAGCTTTTAGGATGCTAGGATTTATTAATAGAACTACAATTGATTTTAAAAATACCAATGCGTTGAAAACATACTTTTCCCTGGTTAGGCCCAATCTTGAGTTTTGGTCAATTGTTTGGTCCCCTCACTATTTGTCTCAAACAAGTGAGAATTGAAAATGTTCAATATACATTTATAAAACTATTATGCTTTAAATTAAATATACCTACTTCAAGAGATCCATATAATATGCAGATTACTTAATTAGTGATTGTGTCTTATTATTTGAGGAGGAATGTTGCAGATATTGTTTATATATCACCTATTAAATGGTCTTATTTTTGTACTGGAATTATCGTCTTTGATTGGTTTCAATATAAAAACTCACCGATTAAGAAATTTCCACTTATTTCATGTTCCTCTTTATAGAAACAATTATACTTCTATCTTATTTTTCTCCAGAGCTCTGTCTCTGGCACACTATAACGGACTGTTAATTTTTTTCTATGTCACGTAATATTTTCAGACAGAATGTTTTTATTGCCTTAAATTTACTTGTTTATTGCTTTTTGAATTATTAAAATATCTTAGCTACTTATGTTATTTATTGTTAATTTAATACTTAATTTTTATTAGACTGTTTTTTTTGTATCTATACTCGTGTGTGTGTATATATATACTAAAGCTAAAAAATTTCACTATTAAGTTAAGCAGAAATTATGCGTATGATTGTATTCCGCTCAAAGGTTGAAACCCATTTAATATACATAAAACAATTTTTAATATCAAAAATGATTGCATTTAACATTTAACTTTAAATAAGGTTGAGCGAAGGTTTCATGTCAATACCATGGTTACTATGGTTATTAGTTGTATATTGTTACAGAACAATTATTTCAATTTTTCAATACAAATTTAACAAATGTTCACCTGTCAGTTCAATAGATGTACTGAATATACAATAAGTAACATATCATTTAATTCAGATTATTTCGGGTAGCAATTGAGATAAATTTTTTTAATAATATTGTCTAATGACAAGGTTAAACAACCATTTATAAACAATATAATATTATGAGTAAAGTTATTTTAATAATATATTCATTATAATCAAAAATTACATTTAAATATAACTAAAAATAACTGTAAATTTACACATTGATATATAATTATTACAAACTAGTTATTGTTTAAATTTCTGTAGAAAATAAATTAAACTGACACGTTATAAAATATATTTCAATGAGTATTACATTATTATGAAATTTACAAATATATCAGTTTTAAAATTAATTTATAGTAAAAATGAATTTAAGAAAATGTTTACTAAACTAATTTATTTTTCAGTCATTGCAGCAACTGTACATAATTTGGCCAATAATCCAGATAATTGAAGCAGTGAATTCATTCCTTCCACAATTCTTATATGAACCATACCAATTTCCTGAAAATATAAATACACATATAATTTGTAATAACATAATAAATTTCCATTCAGTAATTAAGTCAAATATTAGTGATCTAATATTCCTTTTGGCTAAATCTTAAAATTATTTAAGCAGTTTCTATGAAAATTAGGTGACCATATCAGCTTAACACATCATACAAATTTTATTAATTATTTATTTTAAACATTGTGCAGATATATCTATTAATTTGATATAAACACGTTTTTAAAATTGTATTATGTTATTTGATTTTACATTAGTAAATAGACCTATACAAATACCTGTACAAATTTTAATTTCAGAGATTCCTTGATTTCTAAATGTTTGGAAACTCTAAATATATTTGTTATGATATCTTCAGGGGCGTAACCAAGTTTCCAAAGATGGGCCATTATCTTTACATAGAAAAAAATATTATTTTTAGAATCTTTCAACAATGTTTTAATATTGCTATTTTTACTTTGTATGCTTTGCAGATATTTTGGTCAACACATTCTAATAACATTTCTTTAACAAGTAGAGGATGTGGTTCATCACAAACTTTAAACACATTCGTACTGTCAACATGTCTAAAACCATTCCATGTAGATTGCAAATTGTTCAATGCTTGTCGCATGTCTCCCTGAGCAGTGAAAACTACAGCTTCCAAACCATCAGGAACGTATGATATCTATTAATTAATGTATAGCAATGTATGTACTTTTCATAATAACCTAACATAAGCCAAGAAAAATATACCTTTTCGGCTTTACAAACTCTAAGTAGCTGTGTCATAATTTCTTCATCAGAAAGTTTTCCATATCTTAGCATGGCACAACGGGACTGAATTGCTTCAATGATTTTATCACTGTTGTTACAAGCAAGGGCAAATCTTGTTGTATTACTCCACAATTCCATTGTACGTCTAAGTGCTTGTTGTGCTCCATCAGTCATACTAAAAAATAAATAATATTTTTATTTAAATAATTTTAAATAATTTTATCAAATAGTCACCTATCAGCTTCATCCAAAATAATGATTTTATGCCTTCCAGGAGGTAACGTGACTTTTTGCTGGGCAAACATTTTGATTTTGTTTCGTACTGTGTCTATACCTCGATCATTGGATGCATTTAATTCCAATACAGCTTCTTTGAATGAACTGCCCAAAAGTATTCTAGCCAGAGCTAATATTGTTGTGGTTTTACCTACACCAGGAGGACCCTAAATAATAAAATTGATTAATTCAACACTTAAGTAGTAGTTTAGTAGAAGATTTGATTTTTGCAACTCACTGCAATAATAATATTGGGCACGTTTCCACAAGAAGAAAACTTCTCAAGCCGCATGACAGTCTCTTCATTTCCAACTATGTCTGAGAAAGTTTTGGGACGGTATTTTTCAATCCTAAATTTGTACAGTGGAAGTATTAGGTATTATAGTAGAGCATAAGCACAAACAAAAATATATTATTTATGTATTGATAATAATACAAACCATGGCATATTTAAATCGTTTTTAATGGTTATTGTTTGAGATTGAGATGTTACAGGGGGAAACCTGTTATTTGTACCTGAGGATCCTTCCATCGGGTCGGTTACAACTGACGCCGAAGTGGAAGTACTTGGTTTAGGGAGATCTACTTCCATGATATCCATTTTGAGGTTTATAGTTTGGTACTGAATAAATTTTGGAAACGTTAGGTTACTCGATAACAAATTACATTAAATTTGAAAAAAAAAATCACATCAGTTCCACGCCTTCCATTCAAAATAAACTTCCGGGACGCGAGTTGACGAATAATGAATTAACGATAAGAATATTTGGGATTGTTGTCAAAATTAAGGTTCACGATCTTTAACAAACTTAAAAGAGCGGTAAACAGATAACAATATAATATCATATTTTGTTTATTTTATCAATTTTAGGTTATTTTTTTATCTTGATATGAATAGTGATTTCAGTTTTTTCATTGTGATATTAGGTAATCCTAAATTGAAATGTATATTATTATTCGTAATTTGTATGTTAAATTGTTGACATAGTTTGTCCAATTTTTAATCGATTTGCAACAAATACTCTAATGAATTTTACTGAAACAATAAGATGGAATATGGATGAAACCATTCCATTATGTATTTTAGTCTAATGATATTTGTTAGCCAAATTCACGGTTATCTATATAGAGTATATAATCGCAGATTTATAATATTTCATGTATGTTTCATATAACCTGTAGTATAATTGTACGTGAGATATATTTAGTTTTTACTACACTTTGTGTCTACTGTTTAGGACGTGTTGATAAAGTGTCCAGTGAATAGTCATTAGTCATAGATATTATAAAAGAAATCTATGTGAATAGTGCACACATAGAATATTACCATCCAAATTGCGATAGTCTTCGAAAATCGTTTGAATTAGAACCACGGTTTAAGATATCTTAAATCGTAATTGAAACAGAAAAATAATGGGGTACTATTTTTTTATCTCGACTACCTTATGTGCACAATTCTGTTATCACGACTACCGCATTTTGATAACGAATTTAATTGGAATTACGATTTTAATAAGAAAGCTAATATTTATTCATTTATATGGTATATATATATATATATATTACCTATAGTTTATTTAAACAAAATTGAAAAGAATTTGTGTAGCAATCGTCAATTGTCAATATTTATGTAATATTAAGACATTTTTTGTGGAGGAAAGTACATCGTTATGAATGACTATATATGTACCTGTGCTATAGTCCAATAGAAAACTGTAGAAGTGACTAATGACTATAAGAGTTACAGAATTGCCTCTGGACTTCAAAATTTCAATTATCAATTGATCGATATTATATTATGATCGAAATATCGATTAAGCAAAATTTGCGCAATCGTGTTGTAGCCCATCAGACGGCCAAAAATTAAATTATCTACTTACAAAAGGGCTTGGTTAGGTTCATAATGACTCATACTATTAATTTCTCATCTGTATTCTGTACATTTTAAAGCAATTAAATATTAATCAAATTTAAATAGGTATACATCAAATACTTAAGTTGAGTGACATTTTTTAGTTATTTTGTCTTCTAGTTGAAAAATGATTTTAGTTTATAAAGCAAAAACACATAATAATAATAATAATAATAATAAAACTACTCTTTATACATATAGAGTGGTTTTATTGTTTCTACATATCAGACAACAATAATAAATAATAGGCATTTCTAAACAAAATTAAGTTTTAGATGTTTTAAATAATGCTATTCCTGAATATAGGGAGTATTTAGTACCTTTAATAAAAAAAACTAAAATAAATATTTTCATTATTTATTAATTTTTGTAAAATACATACCTACTATCATACTATGGGCTTATTAAGGACAATTATTTTTTTATCATTTATCTACTTTTTTTTCAATTCCATTACTTTTTAACTGTACGTATTTACATAGATAGACATATGTAATGCATTATCCTACAATAGTGACGTTTTAATAGTGTTTTTCAGAGTTCTTACTCATAAATAGGGTTTAAGACTTATCACATTAAAAATCCACCAAAAGTGCTTAAAAAAATAAAAATAAAAAAAGTCGTGAATAAAACATTTAAAAAGCCAAAATGATTGCAGAGTTTAAAAGTTTGCTCACTAATGAATCTAACTTATTAAATATAATTTTCTAATGCTTTAAAAATGATTAACAGACATTGTTTTGAAAAATACATACTATTTTATTTAAAATAATTGTTATTGAGCGGACTTTTTAATCTTTCCACCATTCTTTATTTTGACCACGATCAATCAACTTTTACTTATTGAATACTAAAAGTAATATAATTTTTACCATAGCTAATGATTTCTTTCAGATGTGTTTAATGAATATTTGGTACAAGATATTTTTTAATATATTCATTATATATTAGAAAAAAAAAAAGTAGTCTTTTTAATTATTTTATTTATATAATATTTTAATATCAATTTTAATGATTCATTGTTTTAGCTAGTTTGTTACTTTTCAAAATATTTTTCTTTCAAACATTGGTCCTTTTCTGTATCCTCTATAAATAATTTTGTATATAATTTATTTTTATTAGTGTTTATAAACTATAACTTATTAATTTTATATATTAAACACAAGGCTAGTAATGGTCCTCAAAGTATACAATGTATGTTTGTGATTTTACTTCTGATGAGAGGAAATTGTTGTACGATACCGTGAAAAATACCAAAGTGTCCAATTAGGACGTTATAAGAAACATAGGGTAACAATTGCATATATTTATTATTTGTTTTATATATTTTTATTTGTGGTTTGGATGTCTTTGAGAAAAGCAAAAAAAAAAAACCAAAACAGAGCTGGAGTTACAAGACCAAAAAGATCTAAAATGTAGAAGAACCGCTTTTCGTAGAAAATAGTGTATATAAACAGAAAATCATACATTGAAGTAGGTTTTGTACACACAAAATATTAATATTTAAAATAATTATTTGGCTTATTTAGGTATCATAAGAATCTGTGGAAGGATTAACAAACAGTTAGTATCATCAACAAGATGCATCTATATGTGTTGAAACATCAAGTAGCATTACTGAAACTATACTAAATAATTGTGTTTGTTTACAAGTGTGAAGGTACCTATTCAAAATTATGGTAGTATTCTATAAACTCGTTTGGTTGTAAATGAATCAGAAGAATCTAACTAAATTAACTGTTATGAAATGAAAAATGATAGGTTTATATAAGTATACTTATATAAGTCAATTGTATCCATGAGAATGTCATTTAGTAATGAATTGAAAATATAAAAGTGGTAAAAGTCTAGGACTTGTTCTATGTCTAATTCTAATTCTGGTTCTAGTTCTAGCATAAAGTCTAGTTTTAGGTCCGGGTCTAAGACAAAATTTAAAAAACATAAGTATAAATCTACTGGATTTAAAAGTAAAACTAAATTTGAAAAAAAAATAAATCTAAGAGCCCCAAAATTCGATCTATGTCAAGCTAAACTATGTCTGGGGAATCTAGAAGCGAGTTAATGTCAGTGGAAGTAATTTTAAGAGATTTAAGAGACTTAGGAGTAAGACTATATATAATTCTCAAGAATTTAATTCATGCAAAAAAGTTAAAAGTTCTAGAAGTTATATAAATTATTTTGAGTTATTAATTCCTAATGAAGAAGAAATAACAACAATTAAGTTAAAATCGAATAATCAACACGAAAAGAAAACAAAAAGACAAAAAGAGAACAAGATATTTAGAAATTTTCAACAGATCACATACATTCAAAATAAATACCAATATTGAAGTTTGTAAAGTCTTAAATGAAAAAATATAAAAAATAATGGTAATGGTAATGATGATATCATGTCAACCAGTGAAAAATCTAGAAAGTTAAAAATGGCAAATTCACATCTTCAAAGTAATAATTAGTACTATTTAATTGATGTCATTGAATGATTGGAAATTTAATCAACATTTAAATGTAATTAGTAGGTAATAAGAGAAAATCATGTTTGTGTTTTATTACAACATTGTGTTGTAAAAAGGTGTTGACTGTGTTCTCAACACAATTATAATTTCGGAAGGAAAAAAGATTAAAAATTAAAGGAAATATATATAATTTAATTTGAATTCTATTGATAATGATTAGGGATCTCAATAATGATTAAATAATATGTCCATACATTTTGATTTTTTATATCTTAAAACATGAAATAAAAATTGAATAATGTTTATTTTTAATTTAGATATTGAGCAACGAGAAGAATGTATTGGTTTTGCAATGATGTTTATTTTTATTCTGTTATTTGTAAAATCTTTTCTACCATAGGTTTTGCTTTGATGTATCAAGTGTAGTATCTTATCTGAAAGGAAAATTTATCTGGGTGGTTCTTTTAGGGATGTCATTTTTTTGATTTTCTAAACGGTTTTCATAATAATCGGGAAAAACCAAGAGAAAATATTTGAAAAATAGGAAAATATATATTCATATATGAAATAAACTTCGCTCTAAATCGTTTTTTGTTAGCAATGGTTTATTATTGTGTACAGTTATAAATTAAATTATAGATTCAAATTTTTTTTTATACTTGTTTTAATTTAAAAATTTTACAAAATCATAAAAATAATTTTCTGCGTTATGAGAATATGATTTTTTGGCCAAACCAAAATTGTGTACATTTTTTCATCATGTTGACTTAGATAGTAAAAAAAGTGATACCTCCAATACAATCATTTTTTTTTTTAAAGCATTTTAATTTCAAATTTTGACGAAAGTTGTAAAAATTAAGACCTTTAAAAACTTCATTCACGATTGTATTGCATTAGTTATGATTTATCGTTACGTACTATAATATAAACTATATAAATCTATATGTATCCTATATTTTATTACACTATTTGTAAGTTAATTTAAATTTTGTTGGTGAATATTTCATCATAAAATCGCACCTCCCAACTATTAACAATATATTTTTATACAAGTAAATAACTGATTTAGGTCAACGACATTTTATTATTCGTCGATTTATACAATTATCGCTATTAATAAATGTGATTTATTATTTAATTATATATAGTAATTTGGTTAATAAAAAATATATTGTTTGTCTAATTAAGGAACTTTATCGTTTTTAATCGACAGTCAATTATTATCATTAACCAACAATTGTAAATATTAATAAATAATTACTTTAAATTGATGATAATGGACATTGTGTGATCTAATATAATATATTATCTGTGGTATGCTTTAGAGGAAGGTTGTATTACTAACAAATTATTTTTATCGGACAATATTAGTTGGTTGTATAAAACATAATATAACTTAAAATTATTATTATTTATTTATTAATAATAGTAATTTAAACGGTAAATAAAACT